GGTCGGTTCGGAGCTCAGCCCTTCTTCAGCGTCCAAGTCAGCTCCGACCTCAAGAACTCCAATAGTAACGTGATCCAGGTAGACCGGGTCCTGAAGGTCTGAAGGATCTGATCTGCTCTCACACCTCATTGGTGATTGGCTCACCTGTTCTGTCCTCTCCAGGTGGACCAATCAGGACTATTCCTACCATCAAGAGACTACTATCTGAACAAGACAGCCAATGACAAGGTGAGGAGTCCTGAAGTGGGACATCCCTCTGGTCTAAGCTTCATGAGACTAGTCTGGATTCTGTTTTGCAGGTGCTGGTGGCGTACCTGGACTACCTGGTGGAGCTGGGGACACTGCTGGGAGGTGAAAAGAACTCCACCCGTCTTCAGATGCAGCAGATCCTGGAGTTTGAGACAGCTCTTGCCAACATCACCGTCCCCGAGGACCAGCGGCGAGACGATGAGAAGATCTATCACAAGACCACCATCTCTGAGATGCAGGTGAGGTCTAAGGGACTGATCTGGGGTACAGGGATGGACTGAAACAGATTGTTGTCCCTGGATGGATTATTGCCCCTGGATAAACTGAAACAGATAATTGTCCCTGTATGGTCTGAGTCAGATTACTATCCCTAGATGGATTGGGACAGATTGTTGTCCCTGGATCGACAAAGTCAGAATATTGTCCCTGTATTGACTGGGTCAGATTATTGTCCCTGGATGAACTAAGTCAGATAATGGTCCCTGGATGGACTGAGTTTGGTTATTGTCACTGGATGGACTGAGACAGATTATTGTCCCTGTATGGACTGAGACAGATTATTGTCCCTGGATGAAATAAATCAGATTATTGTCCCTGGAAGGACTAAGTCAGATTATTGTCACTGGATGGACTGAGTCTGGTTATTGTCACTGGATGGACTGAGACAGATTATTGTCCCTGGGTGGACTGAGACAGATTATTGTCCCTGGATGGACTGAGTCAGGTTCCCTGGATGGACTGAGACAGATTATTGTCCCTGGAAGGACTGAGGCAAATTATTATCTGTATGGACAGATTCAGATTATTGTCCCTGGATGGACTGAAACAGATTATTGTCCCTGGATGGACAGGGGCAGATAATTGTCTGTAGATGGTCTTGGTCAGATTGTTGTCCCTGGATGGACTGAGACAGATTGTTGTCCCAGGATGGACTAAGTCAGATTATTGTCCCTGGATGGACTAAGTCAGATTATTGGCCCTGGATGGACTAAATCGTATTATTGTCCCTGGATGGACTGAGACAGATTGTTGTCCCTGGATGAACTAAGTCAGATTATTGTCCCTGGATGGACTAAGTCAGAATGTTGTCCCTGGATGGACTTAAATCAGATTATTGTCCCTGGATGGACTAAGTCAGATTTTAGTCCCTGGATGGACTAAGTCAGATTATTGTCCCTGGATGGACTAAAACAGATTATTGTCCCTGGATGGACTAAGTCAGATTATTGTCCCTGGATGGACTAAGTCAGATTTTAGTCCCTGGATGGACTAAGTCAGATTATTGTCCCTGGATGGACTGAGACAGATTACTGTCCCTGGATGGACTGAGTCAGATTATTGTCCCTGGATGGACTGAGTCAGATTATTGTCCCTGGATGTTCTGTCAGATGATTGTCCCTGGATGGACAGAGACAGATTATTGTCCCTGGATGGATTAAGTCAGGTTATTGTCCCTGGATTGACTAAATCAGATTATTGTCCCTGGATGGACTGTGTCAGATTATTGTCCCTGGATGGACTGTGTCAGATTATTGTCCCTGGATGGACAGAGACAGATTATTGTCCCTGGATGGACTAAGTCAGAATATTGTCCCTTGATGGACTGAGTCAGATTATTGTCCCTGGATGGACTTAGTCAGATTATTTCCCTGGACGGACTAAATCAGAATATTGTCCCTCGATGGACTTAGTCAGATGATTGTCCCTGGACGGAATAAGTCAGGTTATTGTCCTTGGATGGACAGAGACAGATTATTGTCCCTGGATGGACTGAGTCAGATTATTGTCCCTGGATGGACTAAGTCAGAATATTGACCCTGGATTGACTAAATCAGATTATTGTTCCTGGATGGACTGAGACAGATTGTTGTCCCTGGATGGACTAAGTCAGATTTTAGTCCCTGGATGGACAGAGACAGATTATTGTCCCTGGATGGACTGAGTCAGATTATTGTCCCTGGACGGACTAAGTCAGATTATTGTCCCTGGATGCACTAAATCAGATTATTGTCCCTGGATGGACAGAGTCAGATTATTGTCCCTGGATGGACTAAGTCAGAATATTGTCCCTGGATGGACTAAATCAGATTATTGTTCTTGGATGGACTGAGACAAATTGTTGTCCCTGGATGGACTAAGTCAGATTATAGTCCGTTGATGGACAGAGACAGATTATTGTCCCTGGTATGACTGAGTCAGATTATTGTCCCTGGAATGACTGAGTCAGATTATTGTCCCTGGATAGACTAAGTCAGATTATTGTCCCTGGATGGACTGAGACAGATTGTTGTCCTTTGATGTTCTGTCAGATTATTGTCCCCGGATGGACCAAGTCAGAATATTGTCCCTGGATGGAATGAGAAAGATTATTGTCCCTGGATGGACTAAGTCAGAATTTTGTCCCTGGATGGACTGAGTCAGATTATTGTCCCTAGATGGACTAAGTCAGAATATCGTCCCTGGATGGACTGAGACAGGGGTCAGGTTGGGTCTTTGTGGTTCAGTATCTGTGAGGTTTTTTGGTTCAGAACTCAGACTTGAAGAAGACTGCATGAACTGAGCTGGTTCTGATCTGTCTTCATCTGATCTGGGCTCCTGAGTGGACCCAGTACAGGTTAGTCCAGTAGACATTTGGGTACGTCTCTCAGATACACCAAACAATCATCAGATTAAATCTGTTGACAGCTGATTTCAGGTTTCTGTCTCTGTCTGTCTCCATCTTGTCTGTCCGTCCCTGTCTCGTCTGTCCCTGTCTCGTCTATCCCTCTGCCTCTCAGCTCAGGTCACTGAGGTGGATGTCTCTTTGTCCTTCAGGGCTGCAGATGCTTCAGGGGTTGCCATGATGACTGTTGCTACGTGTCTCAGAGAGGGAGGGGCTATTAGATAGCAGGCTGTTACATAAACACAGAGGAGGAGGATGATGAGGAGGAGACTCTTCCTCTGTGGGCTTTGTTTACATCGTGATGCAGGTGGAGGTGGGGTTAACAGGCCCTGCCCCCACCTGTTGTCAGCTGAGTCATAGTTTATCTGCTTTTCATTTCAGCTTATTATAAGTAAGTAATCAAAACTACAATAATTGCTCTTCAGGTTAAAGTTGGATCCAGGGTCAGTCAGGAAAAAATTTTGATCTTTGGCGCCCTCTGCTGGAGAACATTTAACCCTTTAACTCCTGTAAAACACAAATAAACTCACTGTAACTGTAATATAAATAAAACTCGACCTGCACTTCTTATAAAACATCAAAGTTTGATATTTTACTCATTTTGCATGAAATTGTACCTGAAATAAAAAAATAATGTAATTTGAGTGATACAATCCACATAAGAATATAACATATTTAAACTAAAACATTTATCAGATGTATTTACAATTTAAAACATGTATATATATTTTATCATTTTGTATGAATAGAACTGACTCAACATTTTTGACTCAAGGAGGTTCTACAGAACTGGAGTGCGCAAAAACCAGGTGACCGTGTGATCGGCTGGTGAAGCTAACGGCTAACGCTAAACGGGCAAGACTTGATTTCCCATTACTACATGTTGAAAACAGAGCAGAAAAAAAGGATTGATGATGTAGAAATCGTTAAAACTATTAATAATAATATTACTCCAATTATTATTATTAATATTTTACAGTGTATATAATCTATTTAATGTTTTAAATAATGTCAGAAAAGTTGTTTGTGTTATGGATTTATTAACAGAAGATAAACAGGAAAACATCTCATTTTACAACACAAGTCAGCAGATTTGATCTTATTTAGCTCAATGTGATCTGAGCAGAACNAGTCAGATTACTGTCCCTGGATGGACTGAGACAGATTATTGTCCCTGGATGGACTGAGTCAGATTATTATTCCTGGATGGACTAAGTCAGAATATTATCCCTGGATGGACTGAGTCAGATTATTGTCCTCGGATGGACTGAGACAGTTTATTGTCCCTGGATGGACTGAGACAGGGGTCAGGCTGGGTCTTTGTGTTTCAGTATCTGTGAGGGTTTTTTGTTCAGAACTCAGACCTGAAGAAGACTGCATGATCTGAGCTGGTTCTGATCTGTCTTCATCTGGTCTGGTCTCCTGGGTGGACCCAGTACAGGTTAGTCCAGTAGACGTTTGGGGACGTCTCTCAGATACACCAAACAATCATCAGATTATATTTGTTGACAGCTGATTTCAGGTTTCTGTCTCTGTCTGTCTCCATCTTGTCTGTCCGTCCCTGTCTCGTCTATCCCTGTCTCGTCTATCCCTCTGCCTCTCAGCTCAGGTCACGGAGGTGGACGTCTCTTTGTCCTTCAGGGTTGTAGATGCTTCAGGGGTTGCCATGACGACTGTTGCTACATGTCTCGGAGAGGGAGGGGCTATTAGATAGCAGGCTGTTACATAAACACAGGAGGAGGATGATGAGGAGGAGACTCTTCCTCTGTGGGCTTTGTTTACATCGTGATGCAGGAGGAGGTTGGGTTAACAGGCCCTGTCAAGTGTTCTTTAATTTCATGGCTTCCCACACTTGAAAAGGAGGACTTGTAGACTTCAGGATTTCACTCAACACTTTTTAATTTTTACCAGTGAGTGTGAATCAATGAATAGGTGAAAAACCTACAAAACACATACAAAAATTTTAAACATACATTTTGAACATTTGGCTCAAAGTTAGTAATTCATCTTAATTCCATTTCTAACCTTAAATAACATTTAATTCACAATTTTAACTATGAAATCAATTATTAAATCATTGAATTCTGTATTTGGCTGAATCAAACAAATCCACTAATGTGTGTGTTTATGTTGTTTATGCTCACACAAATGTGCCCATATACCCACATCTGAATCCATGAGCAGATCTGCACAACAGGCCCCGCCCTCACCTGTTGTCAGCTGAGTCATAGTTTATCTGCTTTTCATTTCAGCTGATTATAAGTAAGTAATCAAAACTACAATAATTGCTCTTCAGGTTAAAGTTGGATCCAGGGTCAGTCAGGAAAACATTTTGATGTTTGGCGCCCTCTGCTAGACAACATTTAACCCTTTAACTCCTGTAAAACACAAATAAACTCACTGTAACTGTAATATAAATAAAACTCAACCTGCACACAAAACATCAAAGTTTGATATTTTACTCATTTTGCATGAAATTGTACCTGAAATAAAAAAATATGTAATTTGAGTGATACAATCC